GCAGAGAGCTGCGTGGGGCTCTGCATCCTCTGCCAGGGGGATGCTTGAGCCCCCCAAATGCATCTGGACGTGTCCTGGAGGAGGGTTTTCCACCCCTAACACCCAGCCCAGGCAGGCTCGTGGCTGCAGCCAGACCTCATCCCCCTGTCTGGCTCATTGCTGCTGAGCCATGGGGTGCTTACAGCCACCCCCTCTGCAGCTAGTGCGGTGAGGTGAGGACTTGTGCATGGGCTGGCTGGTCCAAAGGATGCAATGAGCCCTTTTCCCTGGCCTCAGGGAATGGCACCAACGTGAGTCACCAGCACCAGGCCCTTGAGCAATTAAACCGAATGAGTAATCTTCAGTTAGAGAGCTGGAAGGGGGAGAAAATAATGATAGACGCCTCCTAATGAGGGTTGGATGCAAGGAAAACTTCTGAATAAAGCCATTCACATGGATTAATTACTATGTTAATCATTGCTGGAGCTTTCCACTCCCACTTGCAGCAGCCCCTCTTACTCCCGGGTAGGGACAGCCTTCATGGGGTGAATCCACCCTCTGTACCCACCAGCCGCAGATCCCATGGCTTTGCTTTGGCTTCCTCCTCCCTGAGCCTTTGCTGAGCCTGAGCCTCTTGTCAATGAGTGAAAATTGGGCCAAACCAGCAAGAAATGTTGAAGATGATGGAGGTAAGGAGGAGCCACCAGGCACACCTCAAACACACGCTTCCCCAACACCACTGCAACTGATTCGTACTCTTAAGTGAAGGATTAGCTACCCATGCATGGGAAATCAGGAACCATAAGAGACATGGGGGTAAAATAAGTGACCACCCTTGGAACATTTGCCTTTGCATTTGGGATTTTTCTGTGCAACCGTCAAAGACCATGAATTAAAAAACAGGTGTGTTTTGGTGTGGGAAGAGGAGATTCCTGTAACAACACAGGGTGGAAGTATTGGATACTGAAAACCTTGTGCTAAAACCCCTCAAAACGGGTGTTTTGGGGCAGTTTCCCACCCAGAGAGTCCCAGTGAGGACCAGGGACTGCAGGCACAGACTGAGGGTGTCTTGGGTCATTTATGGGAGGGTTGGGGTCTCTGCGGGGCTGAGTGGGGCAGAGAGTGACACAGTGCCAAAGCCCCATCCATGGTGCCGGGACACGCACTGACCGTTCTCCCTGTGCTGGAAGGAAGGCGAAAACTCTTTGGCAGTGATCCTGGCGATCCGTGCTTCCTCCTGAGCTTTCTGCGCCGCTGTCACAGCCGCCTCTGCCTTGGCCCTGGAGTGAGAGGTCCTGCAAGGCAACCAGAGAGACAAGGACCACGTTAGGCAGCTTCCCTAGAAGACCAAGGCACGGAGAAGCACTAACTCCCCCCCATGAAACCGCTTTGCTCCGACTCACTGTGGCGAAGGAGCCACCACCAGTAGCTGGGGCTCACTGGGGAACTGGTGATGCTACAACAACAACATGTTTATGAGATGCTTCTCAGCCTGCAAATCACCCAGGTTGGTTGGAAATAGGGGTAGGATGCTCTTCTGGGGATGCATCAACCCAAAAGAGGCTGGTACCCTCCACACATCCCTCCCTGCCTGACAGACACCCTCTGTGTGCATCTCCCACAAACCCCTGGGTCTGAAGACCTGAATTTAAAGCTGTTGTTGGTTGCTTTTTAACGAAAAGAAAGAAGAATTTGTTTGGGATGAAGAAGTGAACATTTCCACCCCCACCATATTTTGCATGGAAGTAAATACGAGTGTCACCAAGAGCAGAGGTAAGAGTGGGGTCTTGCCATCAGTACCACCTCTACTACCCCTTAACACAGCTGGGCAGGGAAGGCTGGACAAGACGATCTCCAGAGATCCCTCCAACCCTATGGATTCTGTTATTCAGTGGTTCTGTGGTTCTGTTACCAGGACATTGTTTTTCATCTCGATGTGTGACTGTCCCCTGCACTCACCCATTACCGGCAATTCCCCAGGCGCTCATGTTGGACAATGTTCCATCACTCAGGATCTACGCTCTCCTATCCGGCCCCTCTGCAGTGTTCCTGCAAACATCCTTTTTGAGGCTGGTTTGCCCCTTCCGCTTATCTGAGCTATGGAGGCACTTTATAAACGCCTGTTCCTACCCACCCTTGTGCAGGCAGCGTTATAAATAGCTCCGCTGATTTCTTTTCCCTCCAAAACCAGGCCCTCCATCTCCTTTAATCATTCTTTTTTTCTCTGCCACTCTCTGAATTCCCTCTAATTTTTCGACATCTGCTCGGAGAGGAGTGCCATTTCTGACAAGCTCCTATAAATGGAAAATAGGGCTAGTAATGCGCCTGCCGTTGCACTGTGCGGCACAAGGCGGGGGTACGGAGCCCGGTGCGCGCACGCCTGTGTGCTGTCACCTCTTTGAGCCATGGGCAAGACGCCTGGTCCCTGTTCCTGGAGCTGACCTGTCAACTGTTTTCAGGTGCTGACAAGTTGTCTTTGCTCTAGTAAGTGCTTTATGTGTATAAATTGCCTGCTTTGCAGTAGCTGAGGGAGCAGAGACAACCTGTTCTCACAGAGCTATTGAAGGTGGCAGTGGGGCGGTGGTGATGCTGTTACAGGTCCTGCAGGTCCCCTGTGACAGATGCAACCAAAAATTGGGTTTAAATGCTTTTCACACCCACCCTGGGTCCAGCACTCACTCTGCTCAAGAGTCGTGCAGGGCTGGAGGAGTGGATAAGCATGGTACAGCCCCATCCCCTGGTCGGTATCTCAGCTGAGCTCATCCAGGAGGACCAGGGATGCTCAGTGCAGCAAACTGCTGGGAGAGGAGGCATGAACTGCTCCTGGTTTTGGCACAAATGTGCTCAGTAGAAACCACCCCAGTGCCACCTGAGGCTTAAAATTGAGATGCTGACTCTCCAAGGTGGGTGAAACCTTGGCTGGCATCTTCCACAGGAGCTTCTCGGTGGTCTGGACGTTGGCTCCCAAAGATCCTCCATCCATTTATCCCTCCACCATCTCCTTGGACTGAAAACTGCTCAGGGAAGGGACTGTTCCACCCATACTGCAGCACATTTATAGAGCAGGCTGCTGGTCCCTGCTGGCCTGATACAAAGGATTAATAACGTCTGAGAGCATCTGAACCAAACTCAGCAGGCAAGATTAAACAGTGCTTCCCTAAACTCCTCCTTGGAGATGCAGCTGGAGGCAGTTATCTGCCATTTCTTGACAGGGAAGGAAACTGGAATTACTGAAAAGCAGCTTGTGCCTCTTCCAAGGGTCCTGGGGGCATACAAAGGTGTCTGCAGAGTGGGAGGTTATGCTGGTTAAAGCATACATGTAGCCACTACCCAGGTTGTGCTCCCCTCCCCAGCACTCATCACCTCCCCATTTTTCACTGAAACGGGTCAAAATCACCATCCCTGGGGGATGAATGGATTTGCATCCCTGGCAATCTCATTCCAGAGACTTCTGGACCAATTCATCTCTGTGGACTCCAAGACCAGCCTTGGAAGAGCAGCAGCTTGGGGCTTCGGTGCAGAAAGTGTTAAAAATCAATCACATTAATTAAGCCATCTCCAATCTGAAACGTACTCGATACCCACAAAACGGATGTAAACGCTGAGCGCTGCACAGAGTCACAGCAGGCTTAATTGTTTGTAATGCTCTCTAAGATGCTTGAAGGAGACGTGCCGTCGGAGTGAAAAGCAGAATTATGGTGATCTATACGTTGCATAATAAAAGACATAAGTATTCCCAAATAAATGCAAGTAATCCAGTTAGTGCTCGCATGACTTTGTCACATCCTAAATTTAACAGCTGTCTCCTCTATACATGCCTGCTGCTCATAGCCTGCACTAAATCTTAATTCCCCAGTTAACTGCTTGAGTTTATTCCCTTGCAAAGTGGAAACCCCCTCAACACATAGATGGGGCTCAATCTAATCGCTCTTCTCCTGCCATAAGTCTTTGCTGGACTGAAACACCATCCTGAAAGCCACAGAATAAGGCTGGATCCTTCCCTACGGATTCATCACAGCTGGAGGAGGAGGCTGGGGATGCTTGGGAGGTGGGAGGAATTAAACAGATCTTCTTGCATTGCTCCTTAGTTACCTCCTGTGGTGTCTTCCATCCTGTGATGAGCCCACTGGACAAATGGTGTTATCTGCAAGAGCACGGGGCTCCTCTCATCTCATCTGAGCTGATAAAAGGTTGCAGATCTCATTGAAGATTCCTTCTGCCACCACTGGATGAGCAAGGGAGAAGGAAAGACACATCCTGGGTTGTGGAGACAGCCAGAGCTCTCTGAGCATCAGCACCCCCAAGCACAGAGGGACTTTTGAGGATAGCTACAACCTCTACATCATGTTTTAGTGCACATCCAAGGTGATCCTGGGGTGGGCGTTTTGGGATGGGGCTGGGAAGAGCCACAGTGATGGTGGCAAGGGATGGCTTATAGATCTTGAGATGCAAGGGTCTGGTTTGGGTTAGGGCAAAGAGTCCACATTGGATCTGGCTTGGAATATGTTACTTATGGATTTTTGCCAAGCTGGCTCCTGGGAGGATGATCGGGCAAGTGGTCCAACTGGCAAGAAGAGCTGGCAGGAGGCAGGGAGAAAGAGCAACCAGATTCCTTTGCACATCTCTTGTGATTTGGCCAGAACTGACAAGGGAAGGGACGATACCTGCAAACGGTTTGTAATGCCAACTTTATCAGCTCCATCTAATCCACAAGAAGCTGGAATAACCTGATTTGCAAGGAAGAACTTGGCTTTTTAGGAATGCCAACAGCGACTCTGGCCTGGCTTTGCTTGAGCAAGGAGCTGGCGTAAGGTCTTCTGTTGCAAATCCAATGCTCAGGGCCAGTTTAGCTGAAAAAGGGTGAACTCTCAGCAAAACCTGTGGCACTTGATGGTTTCAGCAAAAATAGGAAGCAAAATTAGAACCAGGCAAGGTTTGAGTGGTGATTTGGTTAATGAACCAATTTGACAGGGGAACAAGTGGAAACCGCTTAAAAATTAGGCTGGAAATTAGAATAAGTTTACAGAACACCAGAAACGCCCCTGAACAGAGGTGGGTCTGTTTGGGAGTTGTACATGTGACACCTCTAACTGTATGGATGGTAGCTGCTGTCGCAAGAAACCTGTTTTGTTTCTGAGTCTGTCTTCTCTCTTGTGCAGTGATGGGCGAGCTGGAAGCAGATGAAGGATTTGCCATCCTTATTCCTTTCTTTCTTACATTCATGAATGGAAAACTGCTCTTCCTCCTCAATAAAAAGTAGGTAGCAGACTCTGAGTGGAAGCATGTTTTGGGCCAAAGGAAGCTATGTCCTGGATGCAGGGGGAAATCCGCATTGCTTCTGGTTTAAATGTGGAAAAACGTCATTTGAGCAAGATTTCTGGAAAAGAAGGTCAGTTTTCCAAAATTCAGCTTTTGCTGGGGGATTTGTGTTCTTTTGCAAGCACATTCCTTGCTTCGCTGGAGGCCCCTGAGAACTCAAAGCTTGGCTGATGGGTTCCCTCCTTGTTGGGATTTAGGCTTTCATACTTCCCTTCAGATAGGGAAGTATGGAAGTGCTGCTTTACTGTTGGGATCCTGCTGTGGGGATGGAGATCTCCAGACCCTCTTCCATCCCATGCCAAGAGCTGATAGAAACCTCCCCATAGCTCTTCAGATAGTCCCAGCTCCTCAACAGGAGCACATCACAACAAGCACTAAACCCTTTGCTCAGTACTGACCTGATTTCAGCAGGCCTGTTAGGTCTAAACCTGTTCTATATTGCCACTACACCTATAATTCAACCCCCCTGGCAAGGGAGGTCATAAAAACCCCAAGCTCCTGGTAACTACAATAGGATCCACTGTCTTCTCCCTCTTTGTTTTCCATTTCTTAGCTCAGATGGAGGGACAGAAGAGAGGGACAGACTGATCTAATGGTCCAGAGCTTAGAAATGAAGAAAGAAAGCTGAGATAGAAAAAAAATTACTAAAACTATTATTAAAGCCTTTTTCCGTTCAGCTTTTTAAACTCTTCCTACCATATAAGATGAGAAAACCCTGCAGTCGGTATTTTTATGGCAAACCAAACCAGCCATGTGTTGTCTCCATTGAAGGCTTCACTTGAGCAGATGAGCACTGCTGGCTCGTAGGCACTCACAAGTGGTGAGGATGGAGTTAACCAGCCAGTGAGCTCATCCTGGGACATAATGAACAGCCTCAAGTTTTCCCAAGGGGCCAGGCTGGCTCCATCCAATTCACTTTGTCTCTCAGGGCAGTACGTAATCAGGCAGCTTTTTGTTTTGTATTTTTTAAAGGCAT